AAAACAGACAGTTTACTAAATCTTGTTTATCACGCTTTCTTAATACAGTCAACCAAATCTAGCGTCCCCTCACACATTTGTACACGCTCCACATCGTCTGCTAAAGTTCTTTCTTTCTTTCTTTTTTTTCATTATTTGATCTTTTTTTGATACCACCGAGAGGGAAGCGTGATGATGCCCCCCTCCCGGTGGAATCGGGAGGGGGGGCATCATCACGACTCTTTCCCCATGGAACTAAAGGCGTGATAATGCCTGACCAGGTATTTGCCCCCTTTACAGTTCTTAAGCAACATTGCACATATCTTTGTAAAAAAAAAACAAAAAAAAAACGTAAATTTATTTCAGAAAAGTTTATAAAAGTATGCACAAACTGCGATTAAAAAAAAATATACACAACACTCAAAACGTTTCTTAACATAAGCAAAAACATACACACACTTCAGAGAAGTCTATAAAAGGATACTAAAACTATGCGATGAAAAAATATACTACAACATTGAAAGCTTTTTAGCACAAGCACTGAAATCTCAAAATCTCTAACTTAAAAATATACTAAGGAGAAACAAAGATATATAATGGTTACATTAAATAGTAAATACTAAAAATCTATGCCACTGGCCCGCCAAAAGAACCGATTCATATTTTTTTAATCCTACAAAATTTTAATTACAGTTAATCTGATCTTCGATGTTAGTTAAAATGTTTGAGACTTGATTTGTTTTTGTAATTTGTGCGGATTTTGGTGGTCGTCTCATTGTAGCCTGAAATGTTTTATTGTTTCTGCAGAGTTTGAATAGGTCTTTCACTTTGTGTTACTTGGAACAATTTAGTGTATTAGATTCAATTTTCCATCAGTAGGTAATATTTGTCGAATAGTGGGTTGGTGGGAAGGTCTCTTGGCTTCCACTGTAGTTCTCAAATATCCGTAGAATTTTTTTAAAGACAATTAAACAGATCTTAAAGTAAAATATTGAATAATATATATATATATATATTGCCATGAGGATATTAGGTTTTGTATATTATATGAACATTTTACTGCTAGGGACAGCTCAGACTTCAGATTATTTACGTGAGTGCTCCAATTTAGTTCCTGGTTAAATCATACACCAAGAAAATCTTGTTCAGTAACTTCTATAACTTCGTTTGATGTTACCATATTACTGTTGTCGCATTTATTTGTAGGAGCGAGAACCATATACTTTTTTTTAAACTTTTAGTAGCAATTTGTTATATTGAAGCCACACTCATAGATCGGTAAGAAGGCTATTTGCCATAAGTTCTAATTACGCTTTTGAAATTGAAGAAAAAATGCGTTACTATTGTCTGCGTACACGACACCTTCCGGGGCTCCCATAATAGTTGTGATGTCGTTCCCATAAAAAAAATAAAAGTGGGCCCAAGATTGACCGTCATTCCGTGACCCTCATTCTCAGGCGATCCTTTTTTCTCCTACTGACCCCCCTTGAACCCTCACACAAACCAAGGTCACCCGTACACACTGTCAATCATCTAAGCGCTACCCGTTTTCCTTTCTTTATTTGCTCGCACCCGCAAAAATGTTCTTGTTGCTGCATCGTCATTGAGGGCTAACATGTAGAATTCCCCACTGAAGCAATCCTAAAGGCTTCCTCTAACACTCCTTTTATACAACTTTTTTCGTTGAACAAGACCACAGTAGCGTCCCAGTCCGCCGCACTGTTACAAGGTCAAACGCTCTTTGACTAAGTGTTCTGCATTTCGTGAAGCCCAGATAAAAGCGTGGCCGCGAGGCTCGACTCTGATTGGCCAGTGGGGGGGGGGGGGGGGGGGGGGAGGCTATCGCAGTAAGAGAGCGTTTGCGACAAGCGGGAGTCAAAAAAAGAAAAAAGGCCGACAGGAGAATAATTTTAACCACCCTTCCCTTTTACCCTCTCCCACTGCTATCTTGACGGCGGGGAGACTCCATTTGTTGCTGCAGCTTGGGGCTGGATAAGCCGGGAGCTTATCCTGGCTTATCCAGCACCAAGATGCCGGAATAAAAGGAGTCCCAACTTCGTCAAGATAGCAGTGGGAGAGGAGGAAAAGGGTAAGGTGGAGAGGAGGAGTTTCCTACCTCGCGGGAACACGTTTTGTAGGTCGGACTTTAGGAAAGTGTATTTCCAACATGTCACTACACATTTATTTTTCTTTATTCCCATTGTCACGACACATCGGCCTGTGTTGAGGTGCTATTTGGCGAGAAAGCCCTGCGGGGCATCCGCTCTACGTCCGGCAGATAGCAACTTGAGACGCTCTGTCGCACGTTTTACCGTGAAACGTTCTTTGGTTAGGTGTTCCGCATATTGTGAAGCCCAAAAAAAAGCGTGGCCGCGAGGCTCGACACTGATTGGCTGGCGGATGGTAGAGGAGCAGTAAGGTGCTCGACGCTGATTGGTTAAAGGGTGGTCATATGACCAGAAAGCTAGGCAAGGAGGAGCTAGACCATTTGTGCGCACTGAGGGAGAGGAGCTCGAGAGTATGAAATGCTCTGGAGGATCGCCAGGCTTATCAGCCTCATTAGCGGTAGCATCGCTTCATTCTAGGAACAACTGTCGAGTGTAGACGTGAACGCAGGCGTCTGGCGTCCGAAGACTCAGATTATTGCTAAACTTTCTGACACTAAAACGTTTCACGTATGCTACCCAATTGCCTAGCGATTTGCCGTAATTTTTTTTTTTAAATCCTTGAAGGTGTTTTGCTAATTCGGAGTTAACAAAGTTATTTTTACAGCTCTGTTATTCTCGCTGAAACGTTCATTTACGCAATGTTTAGTATGCCCGACATAAAAAAATTCACGTGAAGTTGAAATGTCCTCTAGCGCAGCCTCCGCTTGCGATTCACATGGGGACCTTGAACGCTGGGCTGAGCGACGTGGAGAGGGGAAGAAAAGGGTGGGGAGGGGGAAGGCGAAGCGCTTGCCTTGCCACAAGGGAGTCAGACTGATGTAGTAGCGACGGGGTGAGACTTGAGAGAGAAGGGGTTTTGTTCACCTCGGGCGGGTTGCGCCACTATAGCTGAATTTACTTTATATTTACTCGAGTAATAGCTGCACTGTTTATGAAGAAAACGTAAGGGTTCGCTTTTCCGCGGAGCACGCGGATTGCCAATCACCGCGATCGACAGCATGATTCCAGCGGTTTACAGGACAGAGATAACGTGTTCGCGCGAAGATACCATCTGTGAAGATTGCATTTGTATGGAGACTCGTGTTCTTGATCTGGTTATTCGCTATGTTATTTATGCGCAACGTGATGATCGGCTGTATATGTGCTTTGAGGGAAAGTAGACGCAAGGGCCTTGTTCATACATAGTGCGGCTATTACTCGAGTAAATACGGTAGTACGGTTTTGTCTATGATATGAGGCTTTTGACGCACTTAACTCATGTTCAAACAATATTTATAAAGGATAGCCTTAGATTGAACACATAATAGAACATCTTGACAACGTATTACAATGCACCCAGGTTGGCGTCACGCCTTAGTTCCCATGGCCGCCAACCCGCGGCTGCAAATCGCGAAAAATTCCCGTTCTTGGCTTTGGTATTGCAAAGCGGAATCTTGATGTGTCACAATAATAAAGCTGTTTCTCCATCCCTTTTGGTAAGATAAACAACGTAAAAATTAAAAAAAGACTGGAAATTTGTTTGAACTTAAATAGTTGCATCGCCCCTTTGACGGACAGCGACGCCCTAGCTTCCCCACTACCCTTCTTGAACGTTGGGTGCATTTCACGTTCGAACAGGACCTCAATGACTTTCTTTTTAGTTGCTTTAGATATTCCTTGCACGGCCGAAGGAAACCTTCAATTGCCGTCCTGACCTTGTTCTGAAAATCCGTTGTTAGGCAGAAGCGCTCATCAACCAGACACGTCTTCTGCAATAGAGATATTTCTTTAGCTTCAAATTATTTCTTGAGCAAAGCGACATTTTTAGGTTCCTTTTATCTAACCCATTGTCATCGGTAGCTAACGTTGACGCAGTCCCAATCGGCTGATTAATGCAGCCTTGTTTCTCGGTTGGCGGGATTTTTGCAGCGAACTGACTGCTCGACACTACGTCTAGCTGTGACGGGTCTACCTTCAGGCAGAACATTGGTCCTTCTCTAAGAGAGAGGCAGATTGCCTAAAGATCATCACATTCTAGAGGCTGACCACACTCTCCTGCTTTGTCTAAATCCACCCTTTGCTTAAGCTATTTTTCTCTTGATCGTCAACAATTCTTTTCTCTTTTGTCCTCCCCTGTTTAGAAAATATACCCAAGAGAACCTTGAAATCTGACGCCTCTGAATAGCGTCCAAAAAGGCTCACATTGCTGTAGAAATTTTTTATGCTAATTCGAGAGAGTTTTATCGTCGTATACGTTGCGTGATGTTGCTCGAAGTACCCGGACTAATTACGGAAAGAGAAGATCGCAATATCAAGTAATTAACTTGATGAATAACACACCCGATATAAGTTATGGCACGATCATTTACGATATTTAAAAGAAAATGCATAGCACTACTGGTGGGCAGAGATATAAAATTTCAATAATATGTGCATATCATTATATTACAGATAAAAAAATAACGTATAGAGTTTCTGTTCTTGATGCTGTAAGGGGTTTTTCGTTATCGGCTTGAATTCATATACTCCATTCATGTTTCGTGAGTATTTTGCATTTCTTTGTTTTATTGTTATTTATATATATTTATGTTATCTGGAAGAGGCCGATAACTATTTCTGAGTTTGTAAATTATAACCCATTGCAATTTTTTGGCTAATTTATGTAGGCACTTGTGAACTTTAAGGGAGCAGTGCCTTGTGAGTCTTCTTAGCCTTTTGCACTGGCTCCTTTTTGGAATCCCGCCCGAAAGAAAACAAAATTAAATAAACGATTTATACATATACAAAATATAAAAGTTTTTTTTTTAAACACTGTGTTTACTCAGGGTTCTACCTTATCTCATTTGATTAATGCGAATAAATTCTGGATCTTACCTATTCCCCACCCGGCAACGTAGATTGGAGCGTGGTCAGGAGGGTCTTCCGAGTCATCAGGAAGACAGATCGGTTGTATATAGTCGGTGAAATTAACACTTTCTTTGAGCTTTATTAGTGCAATGTCCTTCTGTGAAAACATTGTTCAATTGTGGCCATTATGAACAAGTGATAATACAAAAATAGGACTGGATTCTTCTGTCGACCAAGTACTTACGGGCATCACCGTACAATCGTTGCTTTGATGCGCAGCACATACTTCATCTACGTCGATGAATACGCCTTCGGAAACTGGTTCGTCAGAGTATTGCGCATTCTGACCAGTGTCAACTTCGTATTGAGAAAGATTATTCGTGTCGTAGTATGCTTCGTAATCCTCGTCGAATTCAAAACTAAACATCGAAACTACAAAACCAGAATTATTTTTCGGGGGTTTTCTTGAAGTTCCGAGGAAGACCGCAAAGCTCGCCGTCTCACGAGCTCTAACAAAGGAAAGAAGGAAAAGAAAATGAAAGGGTTCTTGTAAGATAAACAACGCCACAATCCCTCGCTTTCAACGAACATTATAATTTGCGTATGATGAGGAAGGCGTACCTCGCGGGTCAGTGACCTACACCTTCCTTATCACACGTGCGTTTGTAAATATATACAGGGTGTTTTTTGTGTTTTTTTTTAACTTAATAGATTTGTTAAAAAAAAACGTAAAAGTTACACTTATATGGTTTGTGCAGGTGCGTTATACGACCAGGGGAACATGGTATAGTGGGCTAGTCGTAACGATAATTGGGCTAATTAATAAAAATTCGTTAATCAACTTTTTAAATAATGAAAATAGACATGTGGTTCCAATTACAAACTTGCTCAGCGTTATCGAAAACCACTAAATCAAAACTTTTTAGAAAGATATGAAGCAGGGGAAACATTTTAAAGCGTTCTGTTGAAACGTTTCATTTGGACGAGTTACTAGGTTTCAGTTTCTTATCGGCGCATCTCTGAGCCCATGGTCCTGCTTCCCAGTGGCTGAGAAGCGCAACGCACGTACGCCCTACTTCCTCTGATCCTACGAGGGAGCCGAGGGGGTGGTTTCGCGCCGCGACCACCAGGGAGCAGGACCGCGGCCGTAAAAATGCGCTTCGATAAGGAACCGAAACCTAGAAACGCGTCCAAAATGGGCGCTTTTTCAGAACGCCGTAAAATTCTGCCCCTGTCTTCTACCTTCATAAAAAGAGTTGATTTAGTGGTTTCCAATGGCGCTCAACAAGTTTCTAATTGGCACCATAACTCTATTTTCATTAATTGAAAAGTTAATTAGCGAATTTTAATTAATTCGCCGACTGATCGTTACAATGAGCCCCCTATAATATGTGCCCCTGGCCGTATAACTCACCTGCACAGACCGCATAAGGGTAACTCGGTATATGCTGTTGATATACATTTGTTGATGTATATACTATTCTACATTACAGGGAAGGCCTTAAAGAGTACCGCGAAACTACCGGCCCATGCATCTATTAACAACTGCACATAATATTTTTCTCACTGAACAGAGTAATAAAATGCTTAGATGGGCCAGTTGGTACATCGTGGGAAAATAAGCGCCAAAAAAACACGGACAAAGAGTAGATTGACAACGACACAGGGCGCACTCTCAACTGAATTTATTAGGAAAAAACACAAACTTATATACCAATGGGAGCACACTATCAGACACCACACGTCACGTTAGTCTCCGCCCAGACCACGTTTCAAATATTCAAACTCATTCGTAGACAGAGCCAATGATGTATCGCTAGTGCATTTTTTACCCCTTCTCCTAATCTCTCCCAGAAGAACTCCGTGTATTGGGCGGCGGTCCGAAGGTGCGTTCTGTATGCGCTCTCCGCTGAAGCCTCTCCAACTCCGCCTGCGTGACACCGGATCCTCAGGCAGTCCCTGTAGCGTTCCACTTGTTTCCACGTCTCGGAACGGAGAATTCTGCACATTCTTTTGACGTGACCAGTTGACGGCTGGGTTCCATTGAAGAGGGACGTTATTTCGCTCGGGCAGGTGCCTCGACGAATGGCATACGAGTAAATGGCATACGAGTAACAGAGTAAATTGCAAATAAGACGTAATGATCGCAAACACTATAAAAGATGTCACATACATTGTTATGGGGTCAACTTCAAGAACCCCATTGCATATCGTGAATTAAAGTTTCCATTTATGCGCACAAACTATCTCGAACCTTAAATTTTTTTGTGTGTGTTTCGGCATCAGAAATGTTATCGGCGGATGAATTGTTTTGTGATCTCGTCGAAAATGGAGACGTTCGACTGACACCGTTCTGCTCACAAAAAGTTGCATTCAAGAAATTCGTGTTTCTGGTTTCTAACTTCCCATTTCTCACACACGAGAAAGCTTGTTCGTTTTTATATACAGGCTGTTCTTAGAAACACGGGTCAAATCGTTCGTCCTAAAACTACGTATCGCAATGAAAAGATTGATGCCCTAGTGGTCTGTGCCGAAGGGCACATTGAGAAATACTATTAGCGTTCAGTATAATTGGGTAAAATTACTTTTAGTAAATTTCTTTTTAGTTATTAACTTCGAGGCACGGTTTCAAAAAGAAGCTTGACGCGAATCTTCGCCAACTACCAAATTCACCATAAAAAATTACATGAGTCACGTGCAGCAATTTTACGGAGTTTCGAAAAAATTGCTTAAAGTGATTGTCCGGTCGAAACCGGAAGTACTTAAGTTTTTTGCGCTCGTTACGTCGAGGGAGCCTTCATGTACGCAAACATCATTTTTATGTTGATATATGATATCCCGTTATTAATTAAACCTTTCATGAGCGTATGTACGAAAGTGTACCCCGAATTTCGCCAGTGTCAATGACTGACATCCGTAGCTGCTGCGTGACGTCACAAAACGCAAAGGTTTGTCGGATGGTCGGGATAACAAGCTTTGGTCGATGGATGTATTGTATTTTGTTTCGAATTATATAGTCTCCTAGGCTCTACCCTACTGAAATACGGTTCTTTTGATGCAGTTCCCAAGCGTGTGCAAAAAAAGTCACGCCTTTTAGCAGGATATTACTCAAAAACAGCCATAAGCTTCGAGCAAACGTACGCCGTTTCGAGCGAACACAACTGCGACGGCCGCCGATCGAGCTAGGAGCGCTTGCAAAGCAAAGGATGCAGATTTCGCCTCTGAAGTGGCAACTAGGTACACGAACCGGCATCTGGGTACGAATTTCTGCGGATCCACTGGATCGGTGATGAGGCTGCGGGTCGTTCCCTCAGAGGCGATGTCCGCGGGTCGAAGGCAAACGGCTAATCGTTTAAATGCATCTTGTCACTTGACTTCGACGAGCTTAGTGAATCGTAGCCACGCTCTTTTTTCACATGCGGGTAAAACAGAATTCGGCTGCACGCGTGCTAAATACAACTTCTGGCATCCTTTCCAGGTGGTCTAGCTGTTGGTTTCGGTTTCGTTGCATAATAAAAATTATTGATCCGATATGGGCGAGGAGTGGATGGACGCAGTTTAATATCGCTAATACAGCATCACACCTCAACTTACGAGCCTTCTGTCCGCTTAGAGCTCAGTTCGTAGCTCTCATTTGTGAGATGATTGCTGCATAAGCGGGATCTCGATCTTGACGGGAACCCAGTGCCTACGCACGGCGACGGTCCATTTTGCTCGTCACTGCACGTCTGGCGGAAAAGTGCGGAACGTCATGTCTTGGCTCGCATGTGCTGCCCGGTGGTTGCGGCACCCAACCGCGCAACAAAAATCTCACCCAACCACAAAACAAGTCCAGCACAACGACAGAAACAAAGCGCGCTGAGGCGTTCACTCGCAGCTAAACGACGAGACAGAAATGCTCGCTTTGTGTCGTGTGACGTCAGAGTTCCAGTGTTGCCACCGAAAGCAGCGTTTACGCTAGAGTGCGATTGGAGCAGTATAAATTCAATTACTCATGCAGAGGGGCATATAAAATTCAGATTGTGCACGTGCGATGGGTCTCGAGGCAATAACAATGATATTCAATTGTTTTCTCGAATACAAAATTTGACCGGACAATCCCTTTAATCTGGACGCGTTTCCAGTTTTTGGTTTCTTATCAAAGCGCATCAATCCCTCCCCCTCATTGCGAAAACGCACAACGTGCTTGCGCTGCCATGCATCACACGCAAAGGTACGTCTTCACACTTGCCCCGACGTCAAACGGGCAAACTTCATGTGGCAGTCAACAGGCTTTCTTATCTATTCTCCGTGTCGCTAAAACCATGCAGTACAGTCAAAGCTACAGGGGAAAGAGCGTATGACAACCCGTTCAAGTTGAGGGAGGAACAGGAGGAACGGGAGAGAAAGGCTGGGGTTTCCCAACACCTCCTAAAAATAAGGCCGTAGCGCTCTTGTCGTGACGTCGCAAAGGAAGGCCATCGGAGGCGCGCGTTGAAACGAAGGCAACGCGAGTGAATCGACCTTCGTAACGCGCTTTTCGTCACATACGCGTGTCTTATTTGCTAACATGAAAGCTGCACATTGAAACGGGTCTAAGAAACACTTTATTACACGTGCAAAACATTACACCGCTAAATAATCGATGCGAAATGGCACGAGGTATGCGTAGAAGACGTCTGTAGAAAAATGTGATTGTGTTAAGTAGAAAATATTGAGTCACGCAATTATTGCTGTAGGAATGTATATTTTATACAGAAATATTTCGACAAAATGGCGAGACACGCAGTGATTAGACACAGCAATACAGATCAGTTAAAAATCAGGTAGACGTAGCCAACGCGGACACGGCTCGACAAGTGTCACTTACGATCATGTAAGCGATGTTATCACGTGCAGTCACCGAATTAGAATTGATGTAATTTCGATCGAATGACAATATGGGGCCGACAAATCAGCTTGCGACGCTCATATGATCACTCAAAACAGCGAGCTGATTAAATCCCGTATTATTTAATCAAAATATATTAACTTTTTCGTATTTTGTATACAATTATAACGTATTTTGTATACAATAATACTATTACCTTAATACAGTTAAGATTTTAGTATAAACGCGGTAAAGGCAACAAAGTAACATTAGTATAAATAAACACATAAGCACAAACAACGCACTTTCAATAATCACACCAACGTGTTAATTACCTTCCAGTAAAAACTAGAATATTACCACGCATATTTACAAATGTCGACGCAATAGCAAACGGATAGCGACGAAGAACAAAATTCCATTCTATCACGAGATTAAAAAAAAAAAATCGACTGCAGCACTTTACTTGCGTCTTACATGACAAAGAAAGGCCGTAAATAAGTTGTTCCTCACCTGTCGATCCTATCCATACGTCCCACACGATCCATCACGAAAATATTTGAACACGAACTTCTAGAAGTCTATTTCTGTCTAGAAAGAGGTCATCGGCCAGTGTCATTGTTGACTAGTTGCCACACACGTCACTCAGACCGTAGTAGC